CGGCAGTCACCTTTTTCATGGGCTCTCGGCCTGGCTCTTTTCGGCCGTAACCCTCTTCGGCCCTGGCCTAGTTTCGGGTCTCCGCCAATTCCTCCATTTGCATATACTTCTCGGCTCTTCGTCGGAGGTCATTCATATCAACGGGTGGTTTTTTGCACAAACTGTTCACGAATGGTCCCGGCTTGAGGGTCGTGCTCAGCCGGTCCAATGCCACGACATGATTAAGATCACCAATCTCCATTGCAATCTTGTTGAATCGGTCCATGAAGTTTCTCAGGCTTTCTTTCTTTTCCTGACGGACCCCGACCAAGGCTAATGAGGTCGTCTTGTACGGCTTACTCGTTGCGAACTGTAGGGTGAACTGGGACGACAACTCACCAAACGAGTCAATGGAGGCATTCGGCAGTCTCGTAAACCAACTCAAAGCTCTTCCTTTCAGCGATGTGGGGAATATCCGGCACAAAGCCGAGTCATCTTGAGTGGATAAGGTCGCTTGGGTTAAGAAAACATTCAAATGCTCCTCGGGGTTAGAGGACCCATCGTACTTCTCGATCGGCATGCTTTTCCAGTGATCTAGCAGGGTTGCTTCCATTATCCTTCGAGAGAAGGGGTGCCTCAGGGAGTGAGTGGTGTTGTCGGCCTTGTTAGCTATCAGAGAGGTGACCGGTGCTCGGGTCATATGGTCGGTCGGGGCATGACATGCTGACTCCTCTAGAAGGGTAGGAGTTGACGGCACGTATGTCTGGTTAAGGTTTCGAAGCTCGGCATTTTGGCGGCGTAGTTCGGCCAACTCCCTGGCGTCAGCCTCCCTCTGCCTTCGGATAGCGGCCATTTCCTCTCGCAATGCGCGCAAGTCGTCTTGGAGGTTAGGTTGGTTTTGATTAGTGCTCGGCCGAACCTCTTGTATCACAGGTTTCGGTTCGGTTTGAGGCATTCCGTACGGGTAACATTCTTGGTTGGTCTTAACGGGGTTGCTATCGGGATTAGGAATCGGTTGGGTCGTCGTTGACTATCCTTTGCGAGTTACTACCATGCCTCGGTCTCAATCGTAGAGTTCTGAGGGGCTAAAAACGTCTCTTCGGCCCCACGGTGGGCGCCAAATGTTCCTGTGTTAGGATACACACTTCACTTATCCTTGTTGTAGCGGGTCTGATCCTGGGTCTCGGTCTTCTCGTTCCTATCCGGGTAGTCCGATGTGAGCGGGGGTGTGCCTGCAAAGACACTCCAACGCTCAAGTAAGTGCTCGGCGTAATAAATGCGGTAGTTGAAAGTTAGTTACGTACCTCGCAGATGGTCTATTTATAGTGTGTCTTATTGGGCCGTGATTAGGAGCTGGGCCCCGGAAAATTAGGGGCTAATCCGGCTTATTCCTTAAATTAATCCCTTCGTAGTAATACTGGTGGAGTCTCGGGGGGTCGGCCGAGCAGACCGACCACCTTTTGTTTGGAGAGTGGTCGGTGTGGTCGGTATTGGATTTGGTTTTGCGTTAGATTCCGGGGCCTCGGCCGGGTCAGTTTTGGTCCCATACGGTATACAGGTCGGGTCGGCCAGGTCGGCTCTGGTCCCATATGGTATACAGTATTCTCTCTTTATATCTAACAATTAAAATACTTCCTTTGAACTCATATATAAACAAATTATCCTTAATAATGTTCATTCAAAATTGCAATCACATTAAATTTATGGATAACTTTTAAAATGAAAGAATTATATAGAGTTAAATTACTTAAAATTTTCTTATATTTAAGTCCAAAAATTTTAAATACTTTTTTATTTATATAAGAGTCCAGAGAGAATACACACAAGTTATAACTAGGTTTTAATAAGTTGAATTCTACGTTTGGTTTCCTATAATATTTAATGCATGATTTTAATTTCTTACTTTCTAATTCTAAAATTTTTGTCATTCAAGTTTATAAAATCCACAATTTTGATTCAATACAAAAATTCATTTGTTGACCAATAAAATTGTATTTTCACCATGATTTGACATTAAATAAATGTTATTGTAACGATAGGTTACTACTATATTTATTTTATCCCTCAATAACTAAGTAACGAAAAAATATAAATGTAATTTAACCTAAGATTATCATGCAAATAGTTCATAAATATTCATAAAACAATATATATCTAAGGAATAGACAACTAAAAAACATGAAATCTTTCGGTGGGATTACAACTAAATCATGTACATATACATATATAAATACTAGACTACAAGGCATAAAAGTCTTAGGTTGTCAGTTAAGCAACAATTATATACACGCTGTCGCATAACAACTCAATAAAAGAACAAGAAATCTCCAACATGATAAATCATTAATTAGCAAGCACTCCAAACTTAATCTTGTCCTACTTGTAAAATAAATGATCATCGCAATTCAACAACATGGAAAAGTAAGAGTAAACTTGTATACAAAGAATCCAATATATTATAGAAGTAATTAAGCAAATAATAAAAATGACTTCATTTGAACTATATAGCCACAACCATAAGCTTAACTAGACAACGTAAAATAACACAACTAATCAATCATTTTGCATCTTGCTATACAACTTAACTAATCAACTTTACAATAAATCATCATAGTCACTTATCAACACAACTTGACAACTCAACATCTAACCTAGCATACAATCTTCAACAACATTAATATTGGACAACACAATAACACATTATATCACTTATCAACATATAGCATATCATCATCACAACTTTTTAGCACAACTTATAAATTAACATATCAACTCACATCTTAACAACATTGTAACATTCAATACTTCACTCAATTCATATAGAAACCTAATATCATATCAGCAAAATAATTTAGAAACACAACATCTCTGATATTTAATAGTGTAGCCATTTCACAACATAACAACTCCACAACATCTATAACAACTTTACAATACAAAATATTAAAACAACACAACTACTCAACATAACAAATTAATAGTTTAATATCAACACAACAACACACATCAACATACCAACCCATGTATACAACTCAACAACATGACAACTTTTCAACTTACAATATAATTCATCAACACAACAAATTAACAGCACAACAACTCATGTGTCAACATGTATTTTAATACATGTGAGTCATTTAAATGACTTGGTCCTATCAAATCATAATGTCTAATCCCTTAAAAAGAAATCAAGTCAACAATGTTTGGCATACCAATGCCAAGTCAATACAACAAATGACATACCAATGCCTAAAAACAACTCCACTGATTTCTCAAATTTCTTCACCTAGACTAGGAAAGTCTAATACCATTCTCAGGGGTAAAACAACTTGGGTAAGGGCCTACTACAACAATAGTATGCATCAACTAAGCCTATATGGAATTAACTCATTGACTACCCTATAAATACTACACACATTTCCAACAATCAATTATGAATTTTACCCCTCGACTTCATACCATACACAAATTAGTTACTTCTATACCAATATGGCTTGGCCAAACCCCATATGGTATCAACTAAGGATATAGAGGAGACTTAACACTCAACTCCAAAAGACAACAATACTCGAGGAAGGTTTTTAATAATTAGGCTTAGAGTACCACAACACATATCCACACAATGGGATATTGTAATTTTAAAAATAACATTGCTCCTTTAGTCCTAAGTTCACAACACAACTCAGTGTAGCAACATAACTCAACAACATAGTTATACAATACAATTCAACACAGCTCAACTAATGACTATACATCATATCTCAACAAAATGCATCATGCATTTTCTCAACACAATTCTACACAACACAATGCAACATTCCTCACAAGTTTATCACACTTAACATCTTACAATTTCAAACAATGTATGACTTTTGACTTTAATCACCTTGAAATAATAGGCTACTCTCAAATTAAACAACTTAAATCATCATGATAGATCAATATATATTGAACTAAATTCAATCTTTATCATACATCATGTAAAAAAACCAACCCAATAAGATAAGTTGAGAAAATTACAAGTTCAAATGGGAAATAAGTGTCTTAAGCACCGAGAGCTCACTCGGAGCAATTAGAACTTGCTCAAAGCACCTAAGAGCACTCTTAGAATGGGTTCAAACAAATAGCACCATAGGAAAGAGTGATCT